GAGGAGACCACGACGAAATTCGTAGCAGTTACGCCCTTCGCTCTTTGTTTCTAAGCAAAAAAAAATACTTACTGAAATCCGCATAGCGTTTATTGTCTATGACGTAGATGTTAGCTCAGAAGAAAATATGGGAGCATCTAGAAAACTCCGCTTGAAAACTAATGGGAAGTTGAACAGATCTTTATTATACCCAGTTAGGAAGCTCGGAATCTCAGTCTGTATCCTCCTCTCACGGATTTTTAGACGATCCCTTAAAAGGGCTAAGGTGTCAGGCATTTCGAGCGAATACAGTATGTTCAATGACAAGAACGGATTAAAGACTGAGGCCATCAACTAGAGCCTGGCATCACTAACCGTTGCAACATGCAAACTGCCTGAGACCCTCGTCTGTGTACTAACGAGCGATGACTGATATTCAATCGTCAGTTCTTCCACACTGTGCGATACATAAATTCGAAACAAAAGAGAGACACTGAAAGGCTTGGGAAAATTGGGACAGCATTGGTAAAACGTGCCGTCTTCAACTGTCAGTTTGAGACTCCCCGGCGATTCTCGTTAGTTCCAATAGAAAAACAAACGTTTCCAAGACTGCAAACAGATAGATCCGACATGATCAAGTCCACTACGTGATCTCAAAGCAATTGTCTACTACGATGTATCAGCAGAAAAACATTGGGTAAATAATTTACAGCAATCGAAATTCTCCAGGGAGAAATCAACGTTGTGAGGGAACGAGGTGGCGAAAGCTCTTAAAAATTACCTATAATAACAGCCGACTCGAACTTTAATAGAGTAATTAATAGGAAAAGGCGTTCCGGGAGGTGTTTCTAAGTTTTGTGATCTTACGAAAAATGCTGCTTGTAACAATTTTATCAAGTTTTCTCTTGTGTTATACTACGTGATTGTTAAACGGAAGAGCTTCGAGAGATACAATAATTCTAAATGAAAGTTCAAATAAAAATAGAGATAATTTGTTCCTTATAAAGAAGGAAGCCGCGTTGGCGCATTTTCCTGTTTGTCCTTACCTACTTCATTTGAACGCACTGATATTCACTTGTCCGTGGAAAAATACAAAGTCCATCTCCTCGTCGGGATTCGAATTGATTGATGTGAAACTCATTGCTTTCTAATGCCACACTGTCACTTCTAGTCTTGAGCTCTAGATATTCATTGTTATTATTCTCTAGGAATTTTGGATTTCAATCTTTGTTCCGTGGAGTCACCATATGGACTGTCAAAAGGTAGGTAAAAAGGCAGGAGAGGCTATTGAGTGAACCGGGATCCGTCAATATTGAATTTATCACTGGCAGGATACGTGAATCGTAAACTCAATAGTCCTCTCGCTTATCCCATTAAGCGTAGATAAAGGAATATTTTCATTATCTGTTCGTGTGGGAAACTATTGCATATTCGAATTGGTCTCTGTCAACTCATAAGTAATCCATAAGGTCATATCAGTCCAGCCTTGACTTGTACCTATTGCATATAGCCTTATTCGAGTACAAACTCCACTCGACCTTTCATGTTTTTTTCTGCTTAGCACCAATTTCTAGGGTACGCCTATGTGTGTAGGTAATCGTCGAAATTGAGCGGAATATGGAATTAGGATGATGCTCAATCGCGCAAACTTCTATGAATTTCAGATGACATCAATTGTTTTTGTGAGTGCCGGGTTTCTCGAAGGGTCACAATGCCGATCTGGGTTGCTTATCTTAGCTGTTTGCTTAGGATGCGCGCAACAACTGCAGTCTAGAAATGAATGATTCATGATTTTGCCTGTAGGCCAATGGCACAGTCGTAGCCAGCAGTTTAAAAATAGACAGCTCAAATAGGTGCCATCATAGGATTACTGATCTAAGACTAAAAACGAAAGGCAAGGAAAGCCTTATTTTCGTTCAGTCGCAGAGTGATGCGTAACGCGACGTATTTGCTATGTCCTTTAAATAGTACCTGCCAGTAAATCTAACAGCTCATCCATACGGGGTATTCTGTAATCGGTGAAGTTTCTGAGAGCGCTATTTTAATCAGCCAGGCTTGGCAGAAGGAGATAGCATGTGAAATATAAAACTGTCTTTATTGTTAGTTAGATTTTTTTAATGAGAGGTGTAGCAAAATTTATCTATAAACTGTTCAAAGTGGCTCTATCAATTAATGTGATCAGAAGAGTGAGAGATGGTGTGTCTTGCATGTACTGTATTATACGTATATATATATGTTTATTAGGAAAAAGAATAAGTCAGCAATTTTAGCTTGCGCACGTTGGGCTTTCTTCAATTTTTTTCTAAGAGCATGTAGCAGTTTCTAGTCGTTGCGTTTTTTTTTTAATCTTAATCGACGTTTTAAGTTTTTAACTTTAACAAATAAATCTGTGGTCTTATTCATTGCACTATTCTTCGATTAAAAAATGTTATACGCCGTGATCTGGCTGGCGTTTATCGATAACAATGTTAGAACAAGTGGTGACAGCTGGACACTCGTGCTCCCTTCTTTTATTGGGGTATCAATCCCTAAAACAAACACTGTCAAATTCAACGGCCTGTTCGAAATGACCCTCACCAGAGGCAAAATTTCGAAGGGCAAACAGATACGAGGTTTAAAGTCTGAATTTAAAGTTGACATGTATCGAGGCTGTTTTCAGGAGAGCAGCCGGACATGGCCACGCGATAGACACGAACAAATCTAATAAGATTCATAAGGGGATTATACGAAAAGTTGATGTGTACTCAGCCTACGAGAGTACTTCTGAACAGCGCAGTTAGAAAATCAAGTTAATAGTTTTCAACATTAGTGGAGGGAGTATATATACAGCACCCATAGTTTCCATTGATAGCATGTGAAGTTTATTCAATGCATAAACATATCAGAATTTAACTATGAAAAGTAGGTTTTTTTGTCATCTAATGACAAGAGGTTTACATTGTAATGTTTTACTTAAAAACTGTCGCTGTGTTTGTGCTGCATGTGACTACGTGCCGTTTTAACGCAACTGTAAACAAAAAACTAAAATATGTGTGTGTATATACACTGTGAAGAAATTAAGCTAAAAATATTTCAATATATTGCTGAAAGCTTGAGCTGTCTGTAGGCCTGCGTTAGATTTCACGGTTGCCGATTTAAAGCAATGACGTAGCTCCCAAAAACTGACTTTTCACCAGTGTCAGGCCTTTTTGTAGTGGCATTTTACGGGCTTTCCAGTTTGGCTATGGAGCAATTCTTTTTAGGACAATATATGCTATTGGCAGAACGCCTTTCTATGTTTTCGTAAGAGTACATCGGAACAATATTAGAAACTTAGGGTTAGAAAGTATGAACCTTAGCTAGGGTGATATTGGTACTTGGGGGTCCGGGCGAATTTTGCTGGAAAAATCCTTACTACTAGAGATTATCTGAACGATTCAATCGATAAATAGCAGAGAACAGGCATTGATTTATTTGGGCAAGAAAATGTGTAGATTATATTAAATTGCTTAGCACGCCATCTTGACAAATCTTCACTCTAATTCCTATTGTGAATCTTACATTTTTCCTCGTAAAAGTCTCTTTGCAGATTCTCCGAATGCCGCTTAGTAATTGATAGCAATATTGATCTCCGATTTTGAGAAATTAAGGAAGTTTCTGATTTTGATTGGGGTTCGTCCATCACGAAAATATTAGGTAATAATTGACCCTCAATCGTGTCCTGTAATATATATATATATATATATATATATATATATTCATAAATTTGTTGTTGCCGAAATTGCCTGAACTTTATTTCCGTTTCCGTTGGATTCGTTCTATCCTGATCTCTGATCCGGTTTTTTTCAGGTTCGTGGAAAGCGGAGAAATCTCGGCAAAAGAATAAATTTAATGAATTCGGGGATTGTGGCGTCTCTTTGAGTATGTCTGAATCTTTCTGAAACAGTTTACAAAAGATCTCTATTCATTCGAACTCTAAATCCTGGCTGTAAGGCTCCTCCTTTCGTCAGTCCTCTACAGTGTCAGCCATAGTTAACCTTTTGGCGTGACTACTTTCTATTTTTACTAAAAATAACCTCTATTTTTAAACAAATTATCGTTAAAAGATGAGAAGAATACCTACGCATGATATATTTTTTATTTTGTAAATGTAGAACATGTACGTAAGAGACAAAGAGTTCATTCTTTTACAACATTAGTCCCTGCCGGGCCCTGTTAGAATAAGTTAAGTACTCTAGATATTTTGCAAATGAGACAGGTGGGGGCTTTAGGAGACTCTTTTATTACGCAGCCAAAGTTCCACTAAATGAATGTACTCATTTCATATTATTCGCAGAACATAGTAGGTTAAGCGAGCTTCCTATTATAAATTCAACTGAGTTTAATGAGAACTGATCTTTACCTAAAATACTTGCTAATTGAGTGGTAGATTAAGCGTATTTAAACGTCTCCTAAGTACTTAAAGAAAACCTCCATAAAAGTTACGTTGCCACAAACATAAAGAGACTTATAGATCGAAGCCTAAACCATTTATAATTATGCTTTACTAATTAAGACTTAAAAATACTACGATCGAGCCAATCAGGCCAAGTAGAACTATATGCCACCGCAAATGACCTTAACCGAGCATTACGTATTGAAAGCGTTTGATAGTCGTTAAGGTTTATATGAGTTTTTATGTGAGGTTTTAGGCGAATTTATTTTACGAGACTATTCACTGAGTCTTCTACACGTCGCCGGCCTAGGTGTTGAGAAAGCCTACCTTGAATTCAGGTATATGATGTATCCTGAAGCGCCACGTGATCATTTAACTGCAGCATATTTACCCTTAAACATGCTAACGATGTGCGCCTATATCGACGCTCGTTCAAAATATTCTGTGGCGTGTAAACGAAAACAGGTCTCTTACCTCGAACAGAACGAATACCTTGGAAGGAGAGTGCTTGTGGGTGATCAAGTAGTGCGGCGGATGCGTGCAAGCATCAGTTAACGAAATGTTCTGTCATATTGCATGGTTCGGTTTCGTGAGGCTCCAGCGCCCTCTGTCATGCTGATTAGCGCACGCGAGCCAGCTACGTACAAGCATCGATTGTGCAATAGAATACCACGTGTGGAATCTGCTAAAACAAGAAGCAGATCTGTTTTTTCTGTGCTACGTTGGCGCAGTTTGTACTCTGAAGAAGTTCCGAGTTATCATCGTTTAAACGTTTCTCGAACAGTGGAATAATCTCTGCGCGCCTGAAAGCGGCGTCCGAACGAGCAGCATGCTTGATCACGATCAGTGGCCGTTATCGGGCGACGCACCAAACCTATCCGGTTTGGCAAAGTTTCATCTGGCATCGGGGAGTCAGCAGCAACCTGGCGATTTCGATCTTCCGCACTTGGTGCCGAGTACGTCACGCCGTATTGGTCCGACATCAACTCCAATGTGGGATAACTCTGTACAAGATGATCCTGATGCTGACATGTTGGATACTCTATCTGATTTATATACGTCTGACTCTGTGGAAGCTTCAGATTTTCGTGAACGAAAGGTCTCAAACCACCTGGCCACAGAAGACCCTGGGTCCAAATTTGCTTCGTTGCCATTTAAGTCCTTCACATCGCTGTCGCACTGTGAAGACTACAAAGCATGGGAGGCTCCTCCGAATTCGCCTCGCTCCACAATAACCCCAGATGATAATTTTGGTGAGCACAGAATTGACACGCGTACCTAAAAACTAAAACTGATAAATCTAACCCATTAACGTCTTAAAACTTAACATAGAGAACATCTTGATATGTGTAAAAAATGGTATTTCATAGCATTAAAGTAAATTAATTTAAAATAATTCAAATTATTAAGTCATCACTGACCAACGGATTATGCCTTTGTGAGTATCGAAAAAACACGGTGTGTGGTTGATAGCATGATATGTCGATTCCATTCGGGGTTGGAAGTATGGATCTCTTTAGGTGCGTTTGCTTATAGCTCGAAGTACATCATAGGCTTGTTTTCTATGATATCAGGCGCGGCGACTGATATTCGAAGGAATTCTAGTCTACTAATGGGCTAGAAAAGCGCGACGCACCAGTCAAACTCTTTTATCTTTTATTTGCCATCGCGCGTTCAAAAGGCTTATTTCTCATATGAATTTACAACTTTTAATGTCAGAAGGCTACAATATTAAGTTGCGATAAAAATAACGTATCGATAATTCCACTGCTATTTATGCGTATCTTTTATGTGGCATGATTCGGTCGGATAGGGAAAAATATCACAACAGGTACCAGACAGTAATAACAATTCAAACTTCTATCAAAGAAAAGCTGTCCGGTGGATTTTCGCAAAGTGGCGAGAGGGACCTAACAGCCTTTAAACTAGACACGGCACAAAACCGAAAATGACTAATTAACCCGATGATGTCAATAGCAAGTGACGAATAAAACGGCGTTCGTAATCGATGGAAGCGACGTGGGTTCCGTTTATCTTGTAGGTTTAGTAGTTGAACCCTTTAATACATACGAAACATTCGACGTGTTACGATCTCTTCTAATCATAATTATATTATTATCTAAATTAGTTGACGCCAGCCGTATTTGTCGTTCAAACCTTTGTTGCAGAGTACCAGTCAGGTCTTTCGAATTGTGCGCTTTCTCCCTTACGCGGAACCGGCTGCCAATCAAAAGTTCCTGCGCAGTTTTCCCCGTATGAGGTACTGTCTGTTTGAATCTAGTCGCAACAGGATATGAACATGCAACCTTTCTAACATATTATACTTGTTTGATGCTATATACAACCTATCGAAACTAACCTTAGCATAGTAATCCCGTTATTTTGTCAAACATTTCTACAAAGGAAAATCCAGCTGAACTTACTTCAACCAATTGGCCACACCTTTTGCTCTTTTTAAAATAAGGTTAGTCAGCTTGTCGATCGTTTCCTCGAACAACGCCAAATTGAGAAAAATCTTAGGCAGCAGGCCGAAATAGACCGTCTTGCAAAATCGCTGGCGAACCTATTCATCATGAACCGTCAAAAAGCTCCGCAGCCATCTTACGAAATTTCACCTGGATCGCTCGATCTGGCGCTTTTGGATCGTGTCTTAGAGCTGGGTTTGATCAATTACAAGTCGACGCCACAGAGTCTTGCTTTATCGAGCCTAGCATCCATCCATCTAAGGTAAAAGTAAATTCTATGAGCGAGATTAGTCACAGTTTGAAGCGTGTTTGGTTTAGCCATATACGTGTGCCTCATGGACAGTTTCTAAAAAACATCCCATCATCTACAAGGTTTTCAAATCCCTTTTTTTTTTTGCGAAAAATCGGACCTATCTCTTTCCGGAGTCCTAAGGTCTTTAGTCTAAATGAAGGGAAGTAAATACCCCTGAAACATATTTTTGTATATGCTAATATTTGTACGGAAGGACAAGAAGACTTTTTGTTTTCATTGTCGCTATTCTTTGCGATACACGAGAAAGAGCCTTAAGTTGGCATCGAGGCAGGAAAGGGAAAAGAAAAAAAAATACGCCTTTCTTTTAGAGAGGCCTATTTACTGCGGTTATTCCTTATATTGTTTAGGTAAGCTTTGTAATTGTATCTTTATATTAGTCCTAACGCACTAATTTAGAGAAATCGATGATGGTATCGTTTAGGAAAGCTGTTCGAGGTGGTGCGTGCGAGTTTTTCTTCGGTAATCGCCTGTCGCCAAACGAACGTGATATTAGAGATCGGCCACGAGAGCAACCACGTATCACTCCAAATCCTGAGCTAACGGAGGCTGCTCTGGAACGGATTGATCGCGAGGCCAAGCTTCGCCGGAGTGCTGCCAATCAGCGTGTAGCCACCCGCAGTTGGAGCGGAAACCTCATTACTGAGAACCACGTTCTGCCTACGTACGCCAATAAGGTAAATGCATATACATATAATTTCATCCAAATTTTTGCTAAGCCCAATTATGCGAAAATCTTCGTAGAATAGTATTCGCTGTGTGTAGATCGTTGATATGACTAAATAGCGTGTTTTGTACGTAGATTAGTTTTAAGTACTGGGTTTGTTTATTGATGAAGGTGTTTGTGGGGGGTCTTCCGTACGATGCAACGACTGAGTCGCTCGAAGATTTGTTCCGAGGTAATGGCGTGCTAAGTGTACAGTTCCCGCCACGAGGAAGGGGCCACGCTTATCTAGTATTTGAAGATCACGCCCACGTGAAGTCTTTCCTTGATGTCTGTCAGAAAGGGCCACCTGGCCAGTTCTTCCATTACGTAAGTTCTCCTATATTATTTCTCTTATGTTGGATAGACAAGTATAATAAGTAAGGGAACAAATTAGAAGAAAGCATTTGTTGCATTTGACAATTTAAATGGAATATATTTAATCATACTACGCGGTCTTTATCCTATAATGATATTGTTACTATTTTTCTGACTATTTTGAGGTTCCCATTTGACGATCTAGTGAAATTAGAAATGCGATTGAATACAGCCTTTCATGTTACCTGTTACAGGTGCCATCGCGACGCGGTAAAGGTCGACTGGCACAAATCATTCCTTGGGCTCTAGGAGACAGCGAATGGATTTACACACCCGATAACATTCATGCAGACAGTACTTCGGATGGAAATGAAAGTCCGAAACATCTCGAGTCCGGAGAAAGCAGCGCGCCGGTTTTAAGTCCCGGACGCTCCCGAACAGGCGGTAGCCGAAACGGACGCAACATATCCCGTAATAACACGGTCTTCGTGGGCGCTCTTCACGGAGAAATCACAGCCGAAGGGCTTCAGAGGATTTTCTCTGAGCTTTTTGGATCAGTGATCTATGTCGGTATTGATAGTGACAAAAATCGGTACGTGTATAGGTTCGAACTATGTTTTATATCATTATACCTGGAAGAAGCTACTTGGAGCTTTCTTTGAGAAACGCATAGCGCACTTCTACACATCTCCGACCTGCGACGACTGCTAGTAATTTTCCATTTTTTGGCACAACGTCTTCATTTGACTTTTTTTTTTATAAACGGTAAATTTTTGCAATTATTATTTTTTTTCCAATAATGTGAGACTCGTTAAGGATGTCGCTTGTCTTTTCTGTATCCATAAAGTCAAGCAAAGTTTGGCTTTAATTAGAATAGACTATAATTACACTTATGGTGGTCGTAGATGTTACGCCCAAGATTTGGATACGCTCTGAGAGACGCTTGTAATAGAAATCTCGGCCGCCAAACAACAAATATATACTCGTGTGTCATCTTTAGATGTTCTTTAATTATAAGAATTAATTTCAGTTACCCAAATGGGTCTGCCCGAGTAACATTTCGATCAACAGCGTCTTTTCGCGAGGCTGTTTTGGCCGAATTTGTGCAAGTTGTGACTCAGCGCTTCACCAAGACGATTCAACTAGATGCGTATATTGAGGAAGGCTCGTGCTGTATCAGGTCAGTTTATACAATGAAAACTCTGTATGTAGTATCGTCAATGATGTTTTGTAAGAAAGGGTCCTATGTTTCAATAAGGCTTGGGTGGAATTATAAGTACACCAACAACAACACATAGCAATTTATTCATTAATAATAATTTTGTTGTTTCAGTATAAGGACGTCCCACGATAATGTCTACGTTGTTCAGAATAGGACTAAATAGTCCGCACTATAGGTTGACATAATTGAATAGTAATGCTGCTGCCGCCAACTTATTCGCTATATGGGAATCCATGCCCTGTTAACTTGCTAATCACCAACGTATTTATTTAAGAGACATTTAGAAACTTGACGCGGTTTATGAATAAATCAGGAAACGATGATTCCAGTTCCTGCAACGTAGACTTTTTAGATGACCTAGTAGACGGAGAGCAAGTCTAACAAATTAAGTAAAAATACATGAATTACAATTGAAGCGTTTGAATATTTAGCGCGTTCAACGGACTTCGTTCGTTAAGCAATACAACCATTTACACAAGAGTACAAGCGCACAATTTCGTAGCTGTCCGCTATAACGCGACGAACGATGGTTCAGTGACTTTTGAATTGAAGGGCTTGTCTGCTTGTCCGGATTGCCCGCCCGACTTAAAATACAGGTTTATAGCGATTTGATTTCGATTCTATTGTGTTTTATGTGCAGGGATTGCGGTGCATCGACACCTGTGTTCTGCCGACATCCGTCATGTTTTCAGTACTATTGCCCTACTTGTTTTGAGGCACATCGTCGCGTCGGGCCAAGCGGAAGCGTTGTCATGCAGGGTCCCGATTATCATGCGCCAGTAATGCGTAACCGCAGCAACGCTCAGAGCGGAAACAGTCATTCGGTTAGCCAATATCCTCTACACGGCAATAACGGATACCACTCGACACATCAGGACCGACCCAAGGACCGCGGTCATTTTAGTGAGCGAGCAGACCTGTATAGCAACAGCAGCATAAACAGTTGCACTCCACTTGCAATCGACCAAATGTCATTTGCAAAGAAAGACTAAGCAATAATGGCTTTTCTTGATTATTGATCATACTGTGCTGGTTATCGTATGTATTTGAGCGTTTGTTCTACGTGCGTCCACCACTTAGGCAATGGTTAGACGTTAGGTTCGTTGTGTTAACTTGTTTTTCTTAGTTTGCATTTTTCCCAGCTTTTTACTATCAACCAGAACAAATTGAGTTTTCATTAAAAATATTTATTTGCTACACAAGAGCTTGCTCTATTTCCTACCCAGCTGGAGGTTAAGCGCTGGTCAGCGGGAAACAAGTCTTCGGCACGGAGCAATGAATCAATATATGAACGACGTTTCACGTCGTTTTTTAAATTTATTTAGACAAGAAGTCGACTGGTTGAAAGGTAACATGCTATCTATATGGTAATATAATGGTAACACTACGACATATTTGTAGCCTATTTGAAGTGCAAAGTTCAATCCTTGTAGTGGAATAAACGAACAGATTACTAATTTAGCATTCACCTCATATTGTCAGGCGGCGTTGTCCTTTATTGAACCTTTGTTATAAAAATTATCTTTCTCCTCCGGCACGAAACTATTCTTGCCCGATCACAATAACTATCACAGACTGATGGATAGTATTCTACTATTGCAACTATGTGTAGAGAAGTCAGTACACAAACTAAATCTACCCTAAGATAAAAAAAAGAACTAACCAAATGGCTAAAAATATGTATTGATTGGAATGTTTTAGAGTATGATATTTAAAAGTGTTTCAGTAAATGTGATGTACGGAAGAAGTTTACCCGTTGTTTGTGACATGTTTCATATATCAATAGCGTATCTTGTAAGTAAAATTCTTTGTCCTTGTAATACGGCACAGAGATAGGACACCACTGTAACCCTACGGAGATGGAAAATGTCTTTGCTAGTAAAGGAGTCCTTTGAATAGTGGAAATTTCGCATTAAGCTTGACTAAAGAAGTAGTAAATACTAATGTCTCTATAATTCATATAACGTAAAACTTGAATGCTTTCGAATTATGGATATCGATTTTTAAGCGAAACCAGTATATCAGCAATAAGGAACGAGATCATTTTGCAGCGCTGAGCTTCTTTTAAACACAATTAAGGCCCTAGAGTCCGAATTAATTGAGTGTTAAATGTAGTTGGCCTACATATTTAAGGACACAAGGATGTCATCCGATAGTTTTCAATATGTTACGTACAGAATGGGTAAAGCACTCGAAGTGAGTCGGTGTAGTGGTGGAAAACTTGCTTCTAATTTACGAATCATAATAGTTAATTTCCTAGACACAGAAAGAGGCATTTTCACTGATTTTGCTTCGAATAGACTCCTGCGCAACATTATATTTAACACCCGATATTGACTGTGATACATAGGATAATGAAAAATTACCATATTTTAAGAATAGATAATTATGAAAACTAATTCTTGTACGCATGTTTATCGCGTCCGCCAAATTTACCGAAACATAAAGAACCTTTAACTATTGCTTTAAATTATTAAAATTTAAAAACTTTAAACTGTTAAAAAAAAAGTTGAATAATTTAGTAACGAGAATAACGTACACTAAACAAAATATGAATTTAATGTATTTAAAACATTGCTCCCTTAAAGTAGCTTTTCTTATTTTTCACTTCCGCTTCCGTGTGCCCCTGTCCATCCCCCTGCATTATAGACTACGCGTTATTACGTGTGATCTCTTCGTAATGCATTAACTTTGTAACTATCTATATTTTGATTTATACTTTTTGCAACGTTTGCAGAGAAAGGGCAGTACAAAGTTGCAAAAAATGAGCGTATTTATTCGAGGCACTCAAAAATCAGAGGAACAATTTCTGATGCAACAGTGTCAGAGCACTTAATCACTTTACGGTGCAATAATGTGGGTGCGAAATTTGGTGCATGGATTACCAGTTCGCTATGTTACGTAATTCTTCTAGTACATCGACATTGTTGACATTCTGACAAAGTTATTTCCTGGAGCCATACACAACTTAGAACTCAAAGCCTACTTCCGCGAATATAGGTAGCACCTCGTAGCAGCTAAATGTACAAGTGAGCAATGTTCAAGATATTGCAACAACGTGTGAGTAGTCCATGTGCGTAGCAGATATACCACCTTAGATATGTTTTTTCCGAGTATTTAGTTTAATACTATACTTTACTTATTTCAATAAAATTAGATTATGTAGATCATCATTATCAATATGTTTACCGGTACACGGTGGACAGACATATGTATGGTATTAATGAAGACGACTTAACTGAGATAGACGTTTATATATTTATTTGTAATCAAATATTGATGACATTCGCATAATTTGAAATGTACTGCCTTACACGTTTAAGCTATTTCTTTTATTTTTCCTTGAACTGAGTGATGCACTTCTCGGGTTGCTTACCACAGACTATTTCCAGATTTTTTTCCAGCAGTATAAGTGTTAATTCTTTGCCTTCACATTTTCTTGCTGCGCTCAGTTTGTTGCCTCGTTGCACGCAAGTCCTTTGAAAAAAAATAGCGTATCATACAACATTAACTAAAAGCCAATGGAATATATATATATGGAATACCACATAAATAATTAAATTGGAAACTGCTTTTTCTAACACTGTAATCAAATTTACCGTAGTAAATCAATAAAAACGCTATAATCAAATTTATCTAGCGTCGAATCGTTTGTTGCAAACTGAAAGCCTATGAAAGCCTAGCGAATGGCTTAAGCCTTAACAGAGTAGGTTTTAATTAAGCTAAATGATTGATCTCATTGATCACACAACGTTAATACATAGTATTGTGAGAAGCATGGAAATTTAAAAAATGTAGCGTGCCGCATTATTTTTCGAACGGGCACGCAGAGAATACGGCGAGTGCAAATGACAATGAGAAGATTGCCGATCCACGAATCTTTGAGGGGTGTAATTGTTGGAAAGCTCTAATGGAACCTATGAAGCCCATCTTATGGCAAAAAAACTCAAGTAACCGTGCAATATGATAACTGAGGTTGAAGTTAGATACTTATCATTTATTATAGATATGCGGTTATAACTAGAACGTAACTAGCTTTAGAATTTTTCACAGAAATAGATTGAGCTAAATAAAGGATATCCTCAAGTACGGATCAAGCATAGCAGACTTGTAGATGGATGGCACAAATATATAATTTTGCATATATTTCGTACACTAAAAACTTGTCTTTAGTCATCTGAGATAATCAAAAAATCTGCTGCTATCCGGAGCCTGAACGCCTCGCAGAGATAATGGCGCTCAACAGATCGCAACTAGCTGGATCTTCTACAAATCGATAAAAGCATAGAGAAGACCTGACGCTGTTATTCAATTATTTTTCGGACTAAATAGTTGTAGATCACTTTCGACTTACAACGCGCTCGTACAACTGGAGAAAGGACAAAGTGTTTACTGCGTACGGCTAAGGCAACTTGAGTGTATTTAAAATGTTTTCGTATATCATCCGCTACACTTCAATCTGTTAAGCCACCGAAAATAAATCGCTAGAACAAAAAAAAGTCAATATCACAGAGTACCTGAGCGATTAATCAGCTTCGTTAATCCTGAGTAGCAGGAATGACAGAGTTTCTCTATGAACGTTTGCGGTTTAGATAATACGCGAATGATTACAATCCATTATGCAATTAGACTGTTCACGCCGGGCGTTTTAAAGTGGAGGTAAACAATAATCCAAATATCGTACCTCGCCCGATATTGCCAATCGGTTTCCATAGATCTGATTTGGTCTTATGAAAATTGCACCGACAATGCTATAATAACCCTTTTTTTTATAAGAGGCAGTATGGATCTACCGGGTTGCACTCATTAAGTGAATCCAACCTCTTGGGCGACTAGTAGGACGACAGCTAACCAGGTAGCCTCTGGAAACGCTGCAGTATTGGAAAGCAAACTACCAGCTAATTTGGAAGCAGGTCTTCCACAAGCCTTCATAAGATATAGGTCTTCAGCAAGAGTACGACGCCGCTCCTAAACAGAAATACCATAAGTGTTCACGAAGCAGATCGAGTTTTTGTTGTTCTAAAAGAGTAAGGTATCTACGCGTAAGAATTTCATCAAAACAACAGATTTAACGTGGCTCAAAAAGATCAATGATTCGGTCACTAAGAAGGCCAAATAATCAAAGCGATTAGGGTCAGTATCTTTAAAAAAAAATCAAACTAATCGACAATGTGAAGTCTGTTCTTCTAAAGGCGGTCGAGATCACGATCTTCAGCAGCCTCTGTACTTTAAAAGATCGAAGTCAAAATTATCAGGGAAAGCCAATTCTCGACCGTCAAAATGGTCATCGCCAGTCCCACGCATAGGGTTTCCTCAAACTTCCCATTCATTCATTTCACCACGGAACTTAGCTAAGAATGCAGACCCTTGAGCTTCTGACCTAACGTCTAAGTTGAAGCTTACCCGTTGTCCGAGGACAGAAAAAAGCCTATTAAAATTCCCTCAAAGTCACACCTAGCCAATTCCGGAAAGCTTTCAACACCAGTTTTAGGAAAAAAGCTTTATTTATTGGTTGGAGAGCGTTACCGCTTCGCGTTTATTGCAAAACGTTTATCGATTCGCCTAGCACCATGCAGTCCCAACGTACTCTCGTTTAAGAAGCCGGCTAGACTGTGTGCCTAACCCTATCCGGAGAAGCGCAAATTAATTTCACCCGAGACCCAAAATGTTCTGCTATCAGCAAGCGCATACATTAGCCAATCTACAAATATGCACCTGCTAGTGGCGCATATAGTTATATTTTTTGGTTGACATTGGTGTCATTGGAAAGCTAATTTGGCAGTGGTAAATGTAATAAAATTATTGGAATATCTTTAAGACTCACGGCAGAGCGGTTAGAAAGCGAAATTTAAAAAACACACTTAATTACAATGAAAGCATAAATATAGCCCAAACTTACAAAAAAGTGGGCTGCTATAAAGCTATATATATCTATATAAAGCTGCTATAAAAGAGGTGTTATAAAAAATGATTTTTATTACAAAGATGCTTTTATTGTTTTCGTTCTGAAAATTGCGATGCAAAAGGCATCCCCAGTAGTAACCGACCAGTTACAAAAAGGTTGCCATGTTATTATTAAGAGACTAACCATCAAACACCAAATAGTTTTGAAGCATTTGAAAAAACTGGTTAAAAAATAGCTCGATGTTTGAGTGTCACACGAACTGAGAGCCAAAAAAATTTGCTCGACCATATATCTATATGCGAAATTCAGGGAAATGCAATAAAATCAAAATATTCGGGTCATGAAAAGTGATCTCATAAGAGGGTAATGCGCGAATAAGGAAAAATGAATATAACTCACAATCTATGGCAAAGCCCAGACGGATACGAAGAAGGATGATGCTCTATTTTTTGTGGGATTAAACAGTTGTGCATTATAAATTTCTGCCGTCTGGCAAGCTGCGTGATTTGGGTTTCTACCGTAAACAATAACAGGATTACAAGAAGCCATTGAAAAAATAATCACTTGTATCGCTCTCTGCAAAACCCTCGTAATGGTGTTAATCTTGCTTCAATGGGTATTATTTGTCACAGTTTTTCGCACGTAAGTTCTAAAATTATGGATATATAGCATTACGAGAAAATTATAAAAGATCATAGATCCAAAAAACGCAGATTTTGTTTAGTTAGATTATATATATATATATATATAAATAGTCTCACTAAATAAACAATATTTTTGATTTTTCTTGAAAGCGATCAATCCTTTTTCGACAACCTAATGTTTCAATATATTCAAAATCCACGCAGATTGCATCATGGACTGTTGCGAAATCTATCCTTATGCCAATTCCTATACAATAAGAGTCGGATACATTATACTTTAATATAAAACAGTTAGTACAAGCAACATTTTTTTAACAAATAAATAATTAAACGGCTGTAATAATGTAGAAAGAAATTAAAACCGTTAAATCATTCATATATAAAACGTGTTCCAAACGAGATTACACAGAAATATTATGTATTGTCGAAGCGATCGAGTAAACCTAGGTTTTCTACTTTTAATTCATGTTCGAAACGTGATAATTTTTAGCGGAAAGATTCTATCAAGATTGGGCAGTAGCCTTTTTGTTGTATGGCTACATCTTCAGCAGTAAAAAAATGGTCGTGCTTGTTTGATTTCTATTAATAAAGCTTCTACAAAAGTGGTTTTGACATACATTCAAATTGAACATGATTACCGAGTATTCTTAGACGGACGATGTATATCCAAGGCACCCCAAGCGATTTTATTTCGGACAAACATATATAGCCATAAATAAAAATGAGCTACTGTTCGCACCTGTTTTCAACAGATATAACTTGCATTGTCTATATACTTAGTACGCTTTGGGGACGTGGATTTTGTTTTTTGCACAAATACTTTATGCACAATTGATGCTGATAGTATTTCACTGAATTAGGTAAACAGTGCTTTTTGGAGTCATTCATAATTTTTGATGCTAAATTTTTATTCCGTTCAAGCACGATCAACTTATAATATAATAATTACATTGGCTTCTCGGAGTCGTTCAAGCTTCTATCTACAGATGGAAGTCGTCCACTCCGGTCCTGAGGCTCTTTTACTATCAAATGGACAGTTTAATTCCATTTGTCAAACATTAAAAAGGGTGGGATTCCGCTGCTGCAGGACCTGCAAAATAGGATGGGTGTAATAAGAACCTCCCAATGGAGTTGTTGTGTGGAGGCTTTGACGATTTTTGTCGTATGTGGTTTGACAATGTCATGAAAAAGGATGATTCTATTTATCTATAAGCTCTTTTTCTTTTTATAGTTACATTCAACCAATGCCATTGCAATATATGCAAATCTCTGGCGACCTTCCTCTTCTTCTCATACGTTTCCCCGTGTTTGAGATCCTTTCAGCTCTGTTGAGGATAATCATCTTGTTGAGGTGGAGAGGATGTAACCGTGGGGTTAGGCGTACTTCCTGTAACAGGCATGCCGAAAAACAATGACACAACTGTAAAACAAAAAATTTCTTGGAGAAACTTCGTCTAACACACGAACATTAGCATTCCATCAGTGCCAACAATGTGCAGAGAATGATGTTTTTATTCCTTTTGAATAACAACTACCATATTTATTTGTTTCCTAAAATTATCCACAGCAACAGGGGACGTTCCTCGCATAGACTGCTCTAAGCTCCGAAGACCAAACCATTGTTTAATTAAGTATTCGTCTGGATGTCAGCTTTACGCACCGTGAGCAATATTTTAACATAAATTTGCGTTTATCATACTCCTATTAGAACAGAAACAATTAACAAAAACTTGGATTGTCTGTGTGGGTTGACTGTAAACACTCTTAAGCGAATTCTTGTGGGCAGTAATTTATTACATTTATCGTGGCAGAATTTCGTATGGGTAATATACTTGATTATTTTTTAATCGATCTTCTATATCGAAGCCTGGCTTCGTCAATGCCGTTCTGATAAAATGTTTTCTCCGGATCTGTATGCCGACAATTTATTCGCATCGCCTATCCCACTACTTCACTCACATTTAAACATTACTCTTCTAATAGGTGTGAATCTATCACAAAAAAGAAACAATTTCTAAGCAAATAATGTATTTTATTTAAAGTGAATAGCTATCGTTCTCTTGCAATGTAGGGAAGACGTCATATAAAAAGGAAAACGCTTAATTTTGACATAATAGACCATAGATGGTGATAAATCTGGTTTCCACCAGACAAACAATGGATATCAGCAATAATAAGTGTCGCTAACCGTGTTCCACACAGATCGGTCTAGCGGGAGCTGTGTGTAAACATATGTTCATGAAAAAACCTTTGTAGTTGAAATCAGTCATCGATAAGGAATTGACGATTGGCAAGAGCTACCTCAATGCAGTTTGACTTATATCACTGAAACAGAAATGCGACTTAACGAAGTATCCTATTTTTGTCGATAAATATAATTAAACAGCTCTAACATTTGCCTAACAAGATAGTGCTCGTCTGCTTCAAATTTATTCAACGTCTTCCGGTTCAACAGGATCGCAGCGCATAATACGCCTTTACCTAAACAAAATGTTCATCAAAATATATAAATCAGCTTATATATTGTATATCGATAATACAGATGTTTGTATCTTTCTAAATGATAATAAAAATGTTTCATATCTTAAAGGAACTGAAGATTTACTAGAAATATTGCTTTGAGCAGAGAGTACAACTCGAACGATCAATACTCATATAACTATCTAACTATACAGGAGGTCAAATCGGATCCACCGACTTCATATTTAGAGTACCCTATAATCACTACGAGGTTACGTGTCTAAATCAAAATTATTAAAGGTCAACCACTATTGGTCATATGTCTATAATGAATAGGTGCGCATTCGTATTTGTGAAAAGAAAGTTCTCGATCTGAAATAACTTAATTGTCGTACACACTACGAGATTGCACGTCGCTTCACTAGATGAGATGCTCTATAGGCGGTATATCAGTATAAAAGTCACACTAATAATCATAGTAATAATAATAACGCTGGTAGGCACTTGTAACAAGTGAGTTTCAATCTTCATCATACACGTTTGGCTTTAGATCTTTGCCCATACAAGCTTCTGCAGGCGAACATATGCGAGTGCTGATGCATCAAGTTGGTTCAATTTAAAGATGTATAAGTTATGTTTTCTAACATGAAGTAAATGTATTTCAGAATTTTCTGATAAGGCATGTATAAGAATAGAGCATACGCTCATTGGTGTAGGTTATCAATGTAGCTTTGGGAAAATTAGCTTGTTCAATTAGCCCAACGTGGAGAAAAGAGCTGACATTTAGCCAATTCAAAATTCCTGAAACCATCCTAGATATCTTTCGACCACTGGACAATTTCACTAACGAAAATTAATTTTTCTAGGGCTGTTGAGTAACCATTCGCTTAAATGACGTTAAGAATTGTCGCTGGAGGGGAAGGCGAAGCGGTTTCGCCACACGGAGGTGGAGCAAATGCCAGCGGAAAGAAAATCGTCGGTGTAGGAGACGATGTCTGCATCTGCAGATGTTGCTGCTGCTGCTGTTGCAAAAATGTTCCTTCCTGAGAGCTTTGTAGCTGATGGGACATCTGCTGAAGATTGCTGAGGTGCGGGATGCTATTGGAACAAAAATAAATCAAGCACAGAGTTATTGGCGTCATTTACAAAACCAGTCAACTAAAAAAGGCTAACACATTTGCAGAAAAGAAAAGGGAGTACACACAACTTAAATTTCGAATTGCAAAGTTTTAAAAATACAAAAAGTTTTAACGGTGAAAACCATGCATGCCATATATGACAGCAATCATTTTAGTCACTTTTTTTTTACTAAACAAAAAAAACAAAAAATAACAAAAAAGTCCATCTTTTTTGCGAACATGGTTTACTAACTACTTACCTATAGTTAAATGGAACGGGACTGGACTGTTGCAATGGCGGAGGACTTTTGTCCCGTAAGACACCAGTGACTCGGGTATCCTCTGTCGCTGTTTGCGTTGCCTGACACGGCGAGTTGGTCGTGCTTCGATCATCTGACGTCCCATCCATTGATATGCCGTTGTTCTCATTGAGATCCTTAAATCCTTTGAGCCCTTTAAGGACACTCAAAGGTTCTCTAGCACCTACCATACCGCCGGACTCCTCTCCAACAGGGTCCACTTCTCCATCTTCAGAGTCGCCCTCACTGTCACTGGCTAGCGTTGTTGTATCAGCGTCTGTTGAACTTCCAGCCCTAAAAAGATATTTAAGTCAGTGGTAGTTAAGGAGCTGCACTCTATACACGGAGTGAGTAAAACCTAAAAGAAAAACGTTTTTAGTAGCATGCGTGAGTATCTCTGTTGAATTAAGCTATTAAGTTATTAAATTATTCCAATTTATTAAGCAAATTTGCGTCGTTAAGTGAAAAAATGTGTATTATGTGTATAACTACACAGGAACAGGGAATCATAGTTATAGAGCTGTGGTAGTGACAAATGATTCCAAGAAAAATATTAAATTATGCGGGACAATATGTAATAAGATGTGAGAACAAGACTTCTTACTAAGTGCACATTGTACTTACTTGGTATCTTTTTGATCCGAGCTATCTTCCCCTTCGCCGCCATCTTTCTTATCTTTACTTTCATCATTTGCGTCACCGTCCTTCGATGCTCGCATTTCCTTCTTGAGTTTCATCCGCCTGTTCTGAAACCAAATCTTAATCTGGCGTTCGGTGAGGCAAAGCGCATGGGCGATCTCGATCCTTCGTCTTCGAGTCAGATAATGATTAAAGTGGAACTCTTTTTCTAACTCCAGCGTTTGATATCTGCGCACAAGAACAAAGCCCAAATAACATGGATATAAAACAAGATCAGTAATATATTGGCGTGAGGTTTGTCTCCTTCCTCAAAGATGGCCTCGCATTAGACTAACGTTATGACGCTTCGCATGTGATTCGATTGATCTGAGTATCTTCGCGAATATATATATATATATATATATATATTATCCATACCGTGACATAGGATAAATTTGCCAATATCTTCAGAATTGAATTTAGCGCGGACAGTAGTGAAGGCTGTTTCTAATCACTAAAACCTATGACTGAACTGCTTCCACGTTGCTAAAGAAAAATGAATCCGTTTTAAAGGGTGTATAATATATAAAAATAGAAATTATTTCTATTTTTTTCCATTATATATATGTTCGTTTTCAAGAAACTCGGCGATATTTTAAATGCAAGAAACAATATTATATATTGTGTAAGGTATAACCGCCCGAGTGACCAGTGATCCTGTTTACAATTATGTTTGTTTATTATCCTCCTTCAAAAGGACTTATAGTTTGAATAGATGTTTTCGCATGCGGACGACGTTTGTTGGTATTTACCTCGTATATGTTTGCCGTCCCCTTCGGCGGGAACAATTGTTTGGTCCTGCCAATAACTGGAAGTAATTTTCCATCCCTAATTTATTGGCGAATCCGCCACGGAACGCTGATCCTATGAGAAAACATGAAATGTAATTTAGTGTGCCGCCAAAACTTGATTAAACGTTCGTTTTAATTCAGTACATAATAAATTTATCTAATTGAGAGTAACAAATAATGTGGCTGCTGGGCCAAATGTGTGAACATTTCTGTGTGTAACCACGCTTGCATTAAGGTCGCTGGATATCATAAGAACGAATCTCTTCCCTAACGAACCAGACAGGTGAAGAATTAAGGTAAGAACACCCAAAGTATGGTATAGGGGCCAATGATTAGATTCGTACATGACGCTGTCGCCAATTTAAAATTATTCAATTTGTTAAAAGATTGCACAGATTGTCGGCCTGCCTGCCAGTTATTTTTATGATTCGTTGATCACATGGGTACAACCTATTATTGACAAACTTACATAGGCGCAATATAATGACTATATAGATAATTTTGTTCCCTATGCATTCTGGGTTCTCTGTTCGTTGTTTTTTATAAAGTTTTCAAACAAAAACTTCTTCGAAGGTAACCATCTCGCAGCAAACTACAAAGCGACAGAATATTATACGTCATTGTCGGTTTGCCTACGGCCACTTTATAAACGATGTGCTTACAACTATCATCGGTTAAACACTACGTTTAGCAGTTTGACGGGAGTTTTAAAGATTGAATACTAGAAAACGCGTTAGTTATCTCAGTAGCAATTTTTTTCGCCTGGCTAACAACAACAGCGCTAAGAAAATCCCTGAAGAAAAGTAGAACTGCAGTAAAAATAACATTCACGTGATGAACTTTTCCTGGAATACATACAGCGACAGCCTATTATTATATTCAGTGTTATTATTGTCATTATCATCGCTTTTATTATTACTACTTTTACGTGGCTACTACTGATAATAGCAATACAGCCTTGTTATAGTTGCCGTTGTGTGTATAAAGAGTTAAGACCGTTCCCCTAAGTAAAACATGTACCGTTTATATGGCAATGCTATCATAACACCACAGACACCGCAGTCCAGTGTAGAAGCAGCTGACAGCCAGGGAAAAATAGCTCTACTTGAGTTATATATATATATGAAGGAGAGCTAAAATCGTTGGGTATGGGTTACGGTCGTTGCGGTTTGGGTTTTGGTTGTTGCTGATGGTGTGCTTGTTGTCTCCATAGGCACGATGGAAAATGTCAGACATAAATTTTATAGATAAGCATTTCTCCTCGACAAGTTAAAAACAAAAAGCGTCAGAATGAAGATTAAACTAGTGGAAGAAGTATAAGCAAAGAAAGAAGGGACTGATAGAGCTGGCGGTGCAGTAAGATGTTTGTTGAGAATTAAAACGAATAGCAAAAGTTGATGTAGTACTTCTGTTGAAGAACAAGCAAATATAAAATGGGAATAACAGAGTGTAGCTAGCAAGTATCGGTAGGTTTTCATCTTGCTAATTATAAGCATTTGAAATTTGGGTCCTTAGGCAGAGCAGAAAAGGTATAAACGCAGAGATCAGCACCATTCGACGCGATCAACACAGCCTGACGTTGATTCACCAATTCCTTCGTATCCTTCTCGCGTATGTAAAGCCATAGGATATTATACAACAGCCAAGTTCAATGAGTAAATTGACCTTCGCGACTTTTCGTATGTTTAGCTTGTCCGATGTTATCATTTACTAGTAGATACTAATTCTCAACCGTTGATCTTGACTGGTTGGTCTGACGGACAATGCTGTGCACCTCGTTCGTCCTTCATAACACTTAAGCGTAATGTATTGCGACCTATTGAAAATGGTCTACCCTTTTTCCACTAGATGCCTTCATAGTGACGGGCCTTACTTGTTCGACACGCAATTTCCATGTAGTTGACAGTCTTGTCAGAGCCACTAAGTACTGTGATAGAATGAAAATCCAGTTCAAACGAAATTAATTGGATCACTCCATTATCGACAACCGCGAAACAGACGCGGCTACAGTTGGGAAAATATGGCCGAAGCTTTTAGATCCCAATGAACTGGAGTCAAATCAATTCGTCTGCGTGCGTGTTCTGTTTCATGTTAAGCCGTGCTATTAATTGTATCCTATCAATATCCAGCCTCCGACGTGCTAAATCAATCGGAGACAAAAGTTGCGAAAAGAGACGAGCTAAAAACGTCTTCATCATTTTCGAAATTCGTAAGTGATCATATCTATGATACTGTTTCATAATTTCGTAGGGTTATACTGTATAATCTAATACTTATTTTCGTTTAAGAATTTTGACAAGGGATAATGCTTCTTGCTTGAAAAGAAAGACCTAAGAGCGCTTGCGTTCAGGTTGAAAAAATGCAGCTAAACTCCTCTAATAGGCCCCGTGCTTCAATACATATCCTCCAGATTTAGGTCAGCCAAGCACTGAAGTACCATATCACAAATACTTAATGGAATAGACTCCATTCGCCAGTGCTGATAACGACACATGCGACGATCTTTTGACATCGTATGGCACCACATAAATCGGCTTTTTATTACAGCAGAATCAGGAGGAATGTATCATCACAAAGGTGACTCTCAAACGCTTCTGGTTACACGTGGAGGGCGACGCGCCTAATGCTTACTGAACATACTATAACAGCGATTCAAAAAATTGAGTGGTGCCGTGACATTCTGTCACGTATATTGTTATGACTGCGGTCTCCTGAAGGAGAGGCGTGCCTCTCCTATTTGCCTTGATCGATTAGGGGACATATCAAACACATCAGAGGAAAACTGAGTACGTTAATTTACGCCAGTAACTTTAGCGTTTTTCGTAAATGAAAGATGTTCCACTGCTTCCGCTATCCAACTATGTCTCACGTTTGGTATGACTACTGCTGGCGGATTTGTGAAACCTTTGTTGCCAATGAAAGCCTTCTGCTGTTCGGAGCCAATTATACGTAACCGGAGTTTCGGACGAAATTTTATACAAATTGTATACCGGAGCCATTATTTGGTTCCAGCTGAACCTCAATTTTTTGACCTAACGATACTAGCAAAAAAATATTCGTATTATTACGGCAGTCTTATGCTTGCCTGAAATAACTGGAAAGATTTTGCAAATTCCCTCGTCCCGAAATTAGCCTTTTATACATTATACAATTTCTTATACAATTATAACCACTTTCATCTAATTTGATTCCATTCATCTGGTCCCACACATATGATTGATAGGTATAGCCCCTGAGTACTCGTGCTATGACCGCCCTAGCATTGTTGTAGCAGGTACCGATAAAGCTGCTTGTCCAATTCAAGCGAGATTCAATGCATAACAGATATACAGATATGTATATTTTTAAGCTGCCGTTGTTTAGATAGCCGGAACCGAATCCAGTGGTCGCTGTCTGTTGCATTTATATTGACATGAATACGGTCGTTTTCAGACAAACTTACCTAGTGCGTCGATATACGGCAGAATACGTAAAATCGAATGAGCGTTTAACGACCCCAAGCCATGGTAACATATTAGGAAATGGTATTCTAACTTTGGGCACATTAATATTTTGTTAACATGAAAGAAAATCTTCGAGTTTTAAATGGAGAAAGCAAATGAAGCAAGTTGATAAAGGCGTCGATGACGTTGAACTCAACGACTTTTATGATTCTTCTTGCCGAAAAGATTACAATGTATATCGAACATTCTCTCAATATTAATGCATAACAGGAGTAAATGGATAGAAGAACGGATTAACCGGGCTTATTCTTCGCCTGTCCTACGATCCAAGGCCTTAGCTGGTCCTTAAATGTACTACGTAACAGACGAACAGCAAAGATTGCGTTACAATAATGGCTCGCTAGACCTATAGACCGATGCCGTTTGTTTATGGGAGAGACGCCCCAGCCCTTATGCACTTGTCATTGCAAAGTTTGTACTGGTGCTTATGGCATCAATAAAATGCTCAAGTAATTAACTGGACAGAAACAAAAATCTCATTAGGAAATTATGGCATCATGTTCAACGTAACAGCTGCGGATACGCGAACAATAAGGACTTACTAACAAGTATCCTTTGAATGACATTCGCAATGTATATATATATATGGGTTACCTTTACATACAGTGTGGACGGCTGCCTGTGATATCTTTTTGTGTGTCTACCTATTCGTTGAACTCACTAAGGATTATCGCATATTGCCGTATATTCGTTTCACGATTTATTATTAAGACTGGCTATAAATGAATTCAGAATCGCGCTATACGTACAGGTCCTCGCAGCTGTCAGATATTACATCGCTGTAGTTTTTTCCGGAACGTTTTGCGTCTAAATTACTATATTAGATCATATTAAATATGCAATAGATCAAATTAGAATAGCTAATTATCGGACCAGTCGCGTTAAACGCTCACTTCACTCTCCAAGCGTTATTTGGCCTACGTATTGAAAACTCGATATTTGCAAGTGAAAGATGTAAACAATTTCTATAACTATTTAGTTGGGAAGTACGTGCATGGCGCGTATTAAGGATTGCCTTCTGTAATATACGACATTTGCATCATTTCGCTTAGCCGCAGATGGCACGAAGATACCGAAGTCACCGCCGTTTTGGAAATACCATCCGTACTCACAGGCGTAAGCAGCAACAGAAAATAGATTTGGTCGAAACCAAACATATGGCATGGGTATATTATATCATTGTGATATTAATATTCTAGTATTTAGTTCATACTTTGCCAGTAGTTTAATAGATTTTCATGGTCTCACGTCCTATACTCACTCAATGGAATGACTCTACTCCGACTCTGGTTGTTTTACTTCCCTGCTGCTTCTGCATGGTTGATTTACAACTCTCGTATTCTCATACTGTCTTCGAGTCCCACAACACCCCGCCATTGCGGCACCATTAAGAAAGCTCCTCCCAGTACAATGGAACAAGCTAAGTAAAGCACTAGGTATAACGACACAATAACTGGCAGAAGCTTCACTTACCTCTGATTTCCAGCACAGAAGTGTCTCATGCCTTATGCAGCTGTAGACAGATTGTCTAACGTACTGGTTCGTGCCATTAAATACAAGCTACTAAACGCCGATAAAGTGTCACCTGTGATAATATCTTTTTTCTCTGAAAAAAAGGAACGCAACGATTTATACCGAAAAGTATAGTCATACCTGTAACTAACAGTGGTGCACAGATCTTGACATTTTAAATTGGCACCATGCATAAAAAAGCTAATGGATCCTCTCCCAAATTCGGATTCTCCCTGTTTATCATTCGCCTCCTCGTTAATCATCTCTTTCTCAAAGACCCGCAGTCAAATCGAGGTAATTGTAGGACGTAAAGTTGCAAAAGCTTTTGATAACTTTCTTGCCCGTCACCTTAAATTAAACCCGCTGCTTTAGGCGTCCTTAGTATATCACAAATTGTTTTGTGAAATCTGAAAGATTCATCTCTCTTTACAAAATCTGTTTGTTCCCTATGCGATCTTTTATGTGTGACTCATCGTCGTCTTATTTGCTTCGATAGTAAAACGGCGGTGGACAACGCCCTCACTATTCAATACGTCGTTGCAGCGAACAGCTTACAGCAGACGAAAAGGGACCTATGCTATCAATTCGTTTGTTCTGTGCTACCCGAATCGTTGTCTTCCGCCGCCAAGCTTACTTGGAATATCCTACTATCTAGCCTATAACAGATGATGTTCGCGTTCGACGATGATAATAGAGTCAACATTACGTACCGTATATGCTCTAAACTGGTATAGAGCTGTCCACGTAGGCTGCCACGCTACATTTTAATTTGACCCTAATCATAGATTGTATAATCATGTAACAACCAGTACTAACCAAATGCCACCAAATGAAAATAAAAACAGGTTTCATTGTAAAAACTTACTAACAGCATAGCGAATCCGAGGAGGACGGCAGCTACAACGGTGGTAATAGCAGCTATAGTAACAATCGGAACATATAAACTAGCGTGTACCTCTCTACCACCAATAATAATATCGAACGATTTAAACGTTATCATCGCCACCGACATCACCCTGATCAGCATCGCCTGTGTTATCGTCGTGATCGGAGCGTCTACTGACCGGCTGTATTGCTGACTTGTGTGGTTATCTGTTGCTTTTTTTGCTTTCATTAGATTGAGTGCTTAGTGTAATCCATTAAGAATTAAAACGCAGACATTTATTTTTACTCGGTTAAAATGTGACTGTAACATCAACTGAACTAATCCTTCTTCAATGTTTCTGAACTATTTCGGTTTTAGTGGCTGTTCCACAGAAAGACGTCAATAGGCACCAGGACTAGACATTGAGTGTAAAACATTTCAGGAAGGATAGAGGTGTCGCCGGAGCGCCAAAATAGAAATTGTCCGTTTACTATGATACCGACCTCAACGACAACAACAAAAACGATGGCATCGATGGCACAACAAAGTGTGATAACTACAAAAATGACAACGGAAGGGTAAATGGCGGGCAGAACGACGAGAAACGTGAACGAGTATTGAAGCCAACTGAAGTCAAATAAATATTCCTTCGTATAGTGTGCGGTAAACTGAAGTGTTGCGATGGCAGAATAAACAAAAAGGAGACAGGCTTACGTACCGTAACATCCCATTTAGACGTTATACCTACACTATTATACTTAAGGAATACTTCTATAATTGCTATAAGTTAATCTCACATACATAACTCACTCGTTAAATTGAACTTTTATTAAATAAAAGAGGAAATCGATATTATATATATATATATATATATATGATTTCTTTGACGATCTAATAGAAATATCTCGTAATATATAAAAGTTCGCATGATAACCACCACGTAAGTGAGCTAAAACAGCGTAAATATCACCAAATTTGGGGTTTCCTTATAAGGCCTAAGTTACATTTTGTATATATACATATATATAAGATTTCTAAAAAAGTCCGCAACACCAGCCCTTCAAAAATTCACTAAACCGCTGTAGACAAGTTTAGGACAAAAGGGCTTAGATCCATTCCAGAAAATACTAATACTGCAGAAACCATAGGTTTCTGGTAACGAGGTTTGCAATATTCAACTTCAAATACAATTCGGATCTATCGGTTGTTTCAGCATGAATAGGGCTAATTAATTATTTGTCCTCTGTGTAAAAAAAGCCCATTTGCTCGATTCTAGCCAATGTGGATTTAGGTGCCCTATGCACGAAGCCGTGCATCAAGAGGCTGTCGTTGTCACCTATTTTTTAGCGAAGTCCTAATTTAAATCCTTTTTGAAAGGAACAATTAAAATAGACGTGCAGGAAGAAAATAAAAACATACGATTTCAATTTGTAGAGATAACTACTCAGTGCTTTGATATTCACTACATCGGATATATATTTAGCCTCTTTTGTTCTTATAATTCAAGTTCAAATTGTATCTTTGCTACAACAAACAGTACTTAAATGTTTTCGTAGCAATAATCGTATAATTAGAATTATAGTCCAACTCATCCGGGATCTAAATTACTTGTTTGTTTTCCATGACTAGATTCTCCTTTCTGTGATACGATTACATTTGTACGTCGTTCTTCTACTAATCTACGTACTGATACAAAAGGTATCGGTATATACTTTTTCAATTTGTCACGTAATATAGTACAGTTCCACGTCTGATGAACGTGCTTCGCTATAGTGCATACGAATTAGACTTCCAATTGGACATCTGAGGCCTCAGATGACTGATCTTCTACCCGCATTAGTATTAGATTAGAAGGCAACCAAGAAGGAGAATACCGGTGGAACGATAACAACTGGATGTTACTTTAAGATACGACAGCTCAAAATTATATTTAATTAATTATCGTTCGTTAAGCCAATGCACCGCAATATAAACGTTAACATCAGTCAATCAATGGAACCATCTACTTTTAAATGTGGTTCCTTATGATCCCTTACCATATTCCATTATCACTTATCTGTTTATATTTATACGTGTGAGTATCTTTCTCCAAAATGCAGTCGATATAATAATGGCAATAATTATCGTTATTACTAGTACTATTATTGTTGACCGTATAGTAGTATAAAAAATGCAAATGGTTCATTTTGACTCTATCTCATTTTATATATAAGCAACGCTCTCGTTCGTACAGCGGCCTACGTACGCATACATACATACATAATACGTACATACATACATACGCAGATTCATAGCTTTTAATGCTAAAAATTATCGTCAGCCGTGACGCAAATGTCAATCGCGACCCGAATGTAAACATGGCGGACCGAAGCGCCGTTTCGAAATGGCCAACCTATATATAAGAGCGTTTTCGCTTGCCAGACGTATACAGTCAGATCTCCGTTCAAACCGCAGCCACTAGTATTAATATTTTTTCCGTTGGTTTCTACTGAATGTAGCTCCTGCCTCCTGTACGTCACCTTTTATTTTATCGTTCGGTCTCTTGGCCGATTCTTCAACTACAGCGTCACCTAAATAGCTACAGAGCCTTCTCGTCGCTGACTACAAGGCACACACACATACACACACCCACACACACTAAACGCACACTCACACATCGTGCACTCTCGAAGAGAGAGACTGGAACACATGTTGAATGAAGATACAACAAGCTGGCCTCCTAGGCCAATAAATTTGGCATCAACCCGTCAACAGCGTTCTTGCCCCCCATCTAGTAAACAGAGATTACTCCCTTATTAATTCAATTCAAATCAACGAGCCGCCGGCGTCACAACAACAATGAATATGCAGACGACAGCAACGAAAACGAACTGCCTCGTTGTGCGGGATCAACATCGGAACATCACAGCAGCATCCCGCCAGAAAAATTAGCAGTAGAAAAAACTGTCCACAAAAAAAAGCGGAAGCGTTGTCATGCAGGGTCCCGGTTATCATGCGCCAGTAATGTGTAACCGCAACAGCGCTCAGAGCGGAAACAGTTATTCGATAGGCCAGTATCCTCTGCACAGTAGTAATGGATACCACTCGACGCATCAGGACCGACTCAAGAACCGCGGTCACTTTAGTGAGCGAGCAGACCTGTATAACAACAGCAGCATAAACAGTTGCACTCCACTTGCAATCGACCAAATGCCATTTACAAAAAAAGACTAAGCAATAATGGCTTTTCTTGATTATTGATCATACCGTGCTGGTTATCGTATGTATTTGAGCGTTTGTTCTACGTGCGTCTATCATTTAGGCAATGGTGTGGGCATTAGCGTTGTGACGTTAGGTTCGTTGTGTAAACTTGTTTTCCTTAGTTTGCATTCCTCCCAATCTTTTACTACCAACCAGAACGAGTTTTCATTGAAAATATTTATTTGCTACACAAGAGCTCGCTCTATGCTTTACCCAACTGAAGGTTAAGTTCTGGTCAACGGGAAACAAGTCTTCGGCACGAAGCAATGAATCAATATATGAACGATGCTTCACGTCGCTTTTTAAATTTATTTAAACAAGAAGAAGTTCAGTCTTTGTAGTGGTATAAAAGAACGAACTACTAATTTAGAAATGGTAAGATTTTGACCCGTTGTTTCGTGACATGTTTCATATATCAATAACGTATCTTATAAGTAAAATTCTTTGTCCTTGTAATACGGCGCAGAAATAAGCCACCATTGTAACCCTACGGAGATGGAAAATGTCTATGCTAGTAAAAGAAACCTCTGAATGTTGAAAATCTCGCATTAAGCTTGACTAAAGGAGTAGTACATACCAATGCCTCTATAATTTATATAACGGAAAACTTTAATGCTTTCGAATTATGGATATCGATTTTTAAGCGAAACCAGTATAATGTTTGCATCAGCAATAAGAAACGAAGCCATTTTGCAGCCCTAAGCTTCTTTTAAACACAATTAAGGCCCTAGAGTCCACATTAATTGAGTATTAAATGTAGTTCGCCCACATCTTTAAGGACACGCTTTCATCCCACACTTTTCAAAATGTTACATGTAGAATGGGTGAACTGCTCCCTGCTGCCCGGTTATGTGATTTACAGCTCACGGCGTAACAGTGGAAAACTTGCTTCTGATTTACAAATCATAATAATTCATTTCCTAGACAGAGAAATAGGCATTTCCACTGGTTTTGCTTCGAATAGATTCCTGCGCAACATTATATTTAACACCCGACATTGACTGTGATACATAGAATGATGAAAAATACCATATTTTAAGAATAGATACTTATAAAAACTAATTTTCGTACGCATTTTTATCGCGTTTGTCAAGTTTACGGAAACATAAAAGACCTTTAACTATTGCTTTATGCAACAGTTCAGTTTAATAATTTAGTAACGAGAATAACGTACACTAAAAAAAATATGAATTTTATGTATATAAAACATTATTCCCTTAAAGTAGCTTTCCTTATTTTTCACTTCCGCTTCCGTGTGTCCCCTGTCCATGCCTCTGCATTATAGACTATGCGTTATTTCGTGTGATGTCTACTTAATGCATTGACTTTGTATCTAAGTATATATTTTGATTTATACTTTTTGCAGCGTCTGCAGAGAAAGGACACTATACAAATTGCAAAAAATCAGCATATTTATTCGAGACACTCAAAAATCAGAGGAACAATTTCTGGTGCAACAGTTTCAGAGCACTTATCACTTTACGGTGCAATAATGTGAGTGTAAAATTTGGTGCATGGACTACAAGCTCGCTATGTTACGCAATTCTTCTAGTACACCGACACCGTTGGCATTTTATCAAAGTTATTTCCTGGAACCATACAACTAATCTTTTAAAACGCCAGGAGGAACCAATCTATTTTCGGGAATATAAGTAGCACCTATTAACAGCTCAATATAGAAGTGAGCCGATACTGTTGCAACAACATGTGAATAGTCAACATGCGTAGAAAATATACCAGCTTAGATGACTTCCTTCCAAGTATTTAGTTAATACTATATTTTACTTATTTCAATAAAATTAGATTATGTAGATCATCATTATCAATATGTTTACCGGTACACGGTGGACAGGCATATGTGTGGTATTAATGAAGACGACATAACTGAGATTGACGTGTATATATTTATTTGTAATCAAATATTGATGACATTCGCGTAACTTGAAATGTATTGCCTTACATGTTTATTAAAGCTATTCCTTTTATTTTTTCTTGAACTGGATGATGCACTTCTCGGGTTGCTTACCATAGACTATTTCTAGATTTTTTTCCAGCGGTATAAGTGTTAATTCTTTGCCTTTACATTTGCTTGCTGCACTCAGTCTGTTGGCTCATTGCACGCAAATCCTTTGAAAAAAATAGCGTATCATACAACATAGTAGAACTAAAAGCCAATGGAATGTATGGAAACCACATAAATAATTAAATTGGAAACTGCTTTCGCTAACGCTGTAATCAAATTTATCTAAAGCTAGCGCCGAATCGTTTGTTGTAAACTGAGAGCTTATTAAAACCTTGCGATTGGTTTCAGCTCTAGCAGAGTAGGTTTTAATTAAGCTAAATGGCTGAGCTCATTGATCACACAACATTAATACATAGTATTGTGAGAAGCATAAAAATTTAAAAAATGTAGCGTGCCGCATTACTTTTCAGACGGACAGGCAGAGAATACGGCGAGTGCAAATGACAATGAGAAGATTGCCGATCCACGAATCTTTGAGGGGTGCAATTGTTGGAAAGCTCTAATGGAACCTATGAAGCTCGTCTTATGGCTCAGACAACCGTGCAATATGATAATTGAAGTTGAAGTTAGATTCTTATCATTTATTATAGATATGCGGTTATAATTAGAACATAGCCAGCTTTAGAATTTTTCGCAGAAGTGGATTGAGTTAAATAAAGAATATCCTCAAGTACGGGTCAAGCACAGCAGACTTGTAGATGGATGGCACAAATATATAACTGTGCATATATTTCGTACACTAAGAATTTGTTTTTACTTATCTGAGGTAATCAAAAAGTCTGCTGCTATCAGGCGCCTGAACGCCTCGCAGAGATAATGGCGCGGAACGGACCGCAACCAGCTGGATCCTCTACCAATCAATAAAAGCATAAATAGAGCCGACGCTGTTATTCAGTTATCTTTCGAACTAAATAGACGTAGATCACTTTCGACGTGCAACGCGTTCGTGCGACTGGGGAAAGGACAATGTGTTGACTGCGTCGATTTAAAACTTAAGTCGATTTAAAACGTTTTCGTATATCATCCGCTACACTTCAATTTGTTAAGCCACCGAAAATAAATCGCTAGAACAAAAAAAAATCAATATCGCAGCGCACCTGAGCGATTAATCAGCTTCGTTAATCCAGAGTAGCAAGAATGACAAAGGTTCTCCATGAACGTTTGCAGTAGATAATACGCGAATGACTACAACCCATTATGCAATTAGACTGTTCACGCTGAGCGTTCTAAAGTGGAGACAGACAATAATCCAAATATCGTATCTCGCCCGACATTGCCAATCGGTTTCCATAGATCTGATTTGGTCTTATGAAAATTGCACCGACAGTGCTATAATAACCCTTTTTTTTTATAAGAGGCAGTATGGATCTACCGGGTTGCACTCATTAAGTGAATCCAACCTCTTGGGTGACTAGTAGGACGACAGCTAACCAGGTAGCCTCTGGAAACGCTGCAGTATTGGAAAGCAAACTACCAGCTAATTTGGAAGCAGGTCTTCGACAAGCCTTCATAAGATATAGGTCCTCAGCAAGAGTACGACGCCGCGCCTAAAAAGAAATACCATAAGTGTTCACAAAACAGATCGAGTTTTTGTTGTTCTAAAAGAGCAAGGTATCTACGCGTAAGAATTTCATCAAAACAACAGATTTAACGTGGCTCCAAAAGATCAATGATTCGGTCACTAAGAAGGTCAAAATCCAAATAATCAAAGCGATTAGGGTCAGTATCTTTAAAAAAAAATCAAACTAATCGACAATGTGAAGTCTATTCTTCTAAAGGCGGTCGAGGTCACGATCTTCAGCAGCCTCTGTACTTTAAAAGGTCGAAGTCAAAATTATCAGGGAAATCGAATTCTCGACCGAAATTTGCTCGACCATATATCTATATGCGAAACTCAGGGAAATGCAATAAAATCAAAATATTCGGGTCATGAAAGATCCTGTTGAACCGGAAGACGTTGAATAAATTTGAAGCAGACGAGCACTATCTTGTTAGGCAAATGTTAGAGCTGTTTAATTATATTTATCGACAAAAATAGGATACTTCGTTAAGTCGCATTTCTGTTTCAGTGATATAAGTCAAACTGCATTGAGGTAGCTCTTGCCAATCGTCAATTCCTTATCGATGACTGATTTCAACTACAAAGGTTTTTTCATGAACATATGTTTACACACAGCTCCCGCTAGACCGATCTGTGTGGAACACGGTTAGCGACACTTATTATTGCTGATATCCATTGTTTGTCTGGTGGAAACCAGATTTATCACCATCTATGGTCTATTATGTCAAAATTAAGCGTTTTCCTTTTTATATGACGTCTTCCCTACATTGCAAGAGAACGATAGCTATTCACTTTAAATAAAATACATTATTTGCTTAGAAATTGTTTCTTTTTTGTGATAGATTCACACCTATTAGAAGAGTAATGTTTAAATGTGAGTGAAGTAGTGGGATAGGCGATGCGAATAAATTGTCGGCATACAGATCCGGAGAAAACATTTTATCAGAACGGCATTGACGAAGCCAGGCTTCGATATAGAAGATCGATTAAAAAATAATCAAGTATATTACCCATACGAAATTCTGCCACGATAAATGTAATAAATTACTGCCCACAAGAATTCGCTTAAGAGTGTTTACAGTCAACCCACACAGACAATCCAAGTTTTTGTTAATTGTTTCTGTTCTAATAGGAGTATGATAAACGCAAATTTATGTTAAAATATTGCTCACGGTGCGTAAAGCTGACATCCAGACGAATACTTAATTAAACAATGGTTT